CATATTAATCACAGTTATTTTAAGTCTGTGTCTGATAATTATAATATCCAAAGCCCCTTTTGGTCTTTTTCAGTTGTCTGCTTTTTCTCCTGGCTTTCAGTCATTTGGTCCTGTCTCCTAGCATTCCTGGTAATTTCAAAAATGAATGTCAGACATGGTATATAAGAAATTCTGGAGGCCCTTGATTATGATACTGTTCTTGAGGAAAGATTTAATTTTCTTCTAGTTAAAAGTAGGAGCAGATGACCTTGATCCAATACAGGCTTGAGATGACTTGAGGCTTTGTTTTAGTCTTCTTAGGGCTCATTTAAACCCAGTTTCCCCTATTCCAAGACTGTTGTCCTTCAGAGGTATCAGTGGAATCCTGAGATGTTTGCCAGGAACTTGGCAGGCTCTGAACTGTAATTCTCCTTTTCCTAGCACTATGAGACTACCAAATATTCTGCTTACCTTTTCTACTTTAAAATGGGCACTTTGCTTGGTTTTTTGGCCTCTTGCCCCCACACAGGTTAGTTTTCAGTAAATAGCCTAAAGACAAAAGCAGTACAGGATGTCCAGACTCACTGTTCTCTGGTTGCTTTTTCTCTAGAATCTTAGTCCCTCAAATCCTGCCTGTCTTGATAAGCCCTGTGCTCTAATTTCTTTCTCTTGTAGTCCTGTGAGACTGCCAAAAGTTTTAGTCTGCATCTAGTTGCCTCAGGAGGAAAAAGTAGGGGAGAATGCCAGACTTAACTCTGCAGTTCCTTTTTCTCTGGTATTTTTTTTTCTCACATCCTGGCTGCCTTCTTTGTTTATTTATTTGTTTTTCAATCCAGTTTTTATAGTTTTTCTTGCCAGGAGAATTGATCTCATACAGTTTACTCTATAATAATTTGTAGTTATTATTAAATCATTTATTAAATAATAATTTATCAAAATAAACCTATTAAAAACAGTTTAAGCATATATTAATTGTTACAGTGAATTTGACATATGAGGATCCTGCCCTCATGCAGGTTTTATTCTTGTAGGAAAGAGAGATATTAAGAACACATTTATTTATATTGTGATAAATAATATAGGAGAAGTACAGGGTGTTACGAACTTACTATAAAGATTTAGATAAGGGAGTCAAGAAGAGCTGCTTTGAGAAACTGATATTTGAGCAGAGCTCTAAAGGATGAATAGAACTAACTTAGAGAAAAATAAGAAGTTGTTAGAACTATGGATTAGAGACCTTAGGTCTAGAAAAGTACCTATCCTTAATTGGTTCTCAATTTATAATCTTTGAATGAATAGATATACATTTTCTTTTAAGTAGCTATGTAATTTACTTAGGTTCATAGTTTGTCTCTCCCACTACTAGAATTTAAGTCCCACGAATGTATTTTTCTCTGAAGCACCTAGAATAGTGCCTGGGATAGCATAGACACTTGGTAAATATTTGTCAAGTAAGTTGGATGAATAAAATCTCGGGCTGAAGCCCAATATATTATACCAATAAAAGCATAGCAGCTTTAAATTAAGTCAGGCCAGGGACCTGGTAGAGTTCTTCCTACTGGGTCTGCCCTCATCCACCCTGTAGAATCTCTCTAAGTAGCACAGTTTGAAAACTGTCTTACAAGTAATGGTATGAGGTTGCTGGAGAAGGGTGCATTATTTCATTTTACTTTTCTATGTCTAGAAACAGTAATTCCCAGAAAACACCTGGGCCTGAGTGGGTTGGAGGTGGATACATCTAGTTGGCTACAGAAAGGCTCATTTCTCATGGGAAATACACTTTCTAAACTATAAAGCTCTCTTACAACTTTTGGTTGAGAGAGAACAGCTGGTAGCAGTGCAGATGCTGTCAATTCAGAATATCAGAGAATATTGTCATGTCAGCATTTTAGATGTTAAAACAAAATCAGAAAATAAAGTTAGTAAAGGTGGGGATAAAACCCTAAAACATACACAGAAATAAATGAACCTGTGTTTCAAATGAATAACCTGAGCATACTGTAGGGGAGAGGTAAAGTAATCAGGGTAATATTTAAGCATAGTATACTTCAAAGTCAAGATAAAAGAACTATAAACAAATAGTGAACCCTAGTTTATAGGCTGGTTTTTGGTAATAGTATGGATTAGCAATTTTAAAACTATTTTCTGTCTATTCTAGAATTGAACAAGGGAATAAGTGTCTGAGGATAATGAGAGCTAGGTTTTTCATTGTTGGAAAAGGGAGTTATATATATGGAAGAAAAGCTGGAATGAACCCTGTGATGTTGGATTTAAATTGGGGATTATGAACTCATGGTTTTAAATATTTGTTTATATAAAAATAAGAAATATGCATATGTATACACTCATATATATTTATTTTATAGGCATATGTATATATATCTGTGTACATACATATATGCCTGTATGTGTGTATGTGTATTCTGGCTTTGTTCATTAAGGTCTAAAAGCAGTTACTTTTTCCATAACAATGAATATACCTAACTCCCATATGTTGGTTTCTAAACTATTCTCCACCAAAAGGAAACCAGAGATCATTGGAGAAATGGCCTATCCCAGGAAAAACTGGATCAGGGAAAGTACAAAAGGAGCCGGGAACATAATTATTCTTTTAGAAAGTAAGAAGGTAGTCAAAGAATAATGGGATCATGTCAAAAGGAATGAGAACCAGTTTGGAGAAACATCCACTGGACAAATAAGTAATGATAGTTAAGAGATTATAACCCACTGAAAAAATAAGGAACTAATGGTCTTGGTCTGTACAAATATAAGAAATGAATGAATAAGTAACTATGGGGGAGAAGGGTAAATTCTTCCTTAAAATGGCAAATAAATGTAGAACTGTTCTAGGTAGAAAATGAGCACTTAGGGACAATTAAAATACCACTTTAACACAAGTATCATGTACAGGTACAAAACTATTGAATGAAAGTTTGAAGAGGAATATGATATTTACATAGCCTCAAGATAGTTCCTTACAAAGTACTTACTTATTACAGAAACAAAAACAGTAACTTTATCATGGAGAAACTTGGCAGATACCCCTTTACAGAAGATCAAAGTTAATATCACTGATAATGGAGCCCACGAGCTTCTTGTTGATCCTGATAAGATGTATTGAGGACCCAGCAGTGCTTTTTGACGTTCTTACCAAAAATGCATAGCCTGAATTTAAATATGAGAGACCTACCACCAGACAAGCCTGAATTGGGGGACATTCTACAAAGTAACTGGTCTGTATTTTTTAAAAATATGTCTTAAAAGACTAAGGAACTGTTCCAGATGATAGGAGTCCAAAGAGACATTACTGCTAAATGCAGTGTGTGGTCCTGAATTAGATTTTGGACTGGAAAAATCAGTAGCTTTAAAGATATTTTTAAGGCAATTGATGACTTTTAAAGATGGATTGTAATTATATAATAGAAATTTTAACATTGATGAATGCTGATTTGGTATGTCTGTAACTCACTTTCACATATTCAGAAAAAATGAGTTAGAATGACAAAGCAAATGGGATAAAATGTGAATAACTGATATTGCACGTATGTAAAGAAAAGTTACCTAAAAATTTCTAAATTCAGTCTTTTCATATATCTGAGCTGTAATTAAACCAACTTGACCTTACTATTTATAGAATTCATAAAAAAGGACAAAAAGTTCTCATCATTTAGAGCAAGTAAAATAGTGAAAGGAAATGCTGATCAGGTAGAAACATTTCAAATTGTTAGATACAAAGCAGAAGGACCTGATTTTTATTTTTTGTTTGGAGTTCTGTCATGGCTTAGTAATCTTGAGTACTTCATGTCCTATATCAATTTCCTTAAACATTTATAAAGTAGATATTTTAAGAATTTCCAAAACATTTCCTGTGTAATAAGATTTTTTAGAAAAGGGTGCTTTGTAAAAATTAGATGACCTTTGTTATATATAGATAGATACTTTTACAGATTTATTAAGAAATTTGGAGGCCATTTTTGCAATTATTTGTTAAAGGAATATTTTGGAGAGGTGGAAATTCTTTAATAAATTTAAAAAATTCTTTCTTTAATAGATTTAAAGATTTAATGAATCTTTGAGCTGCAATGAATACATGGTCATTTTAATGATTTTTATGTAATAAGTCACTAATAATTAATGTAATATTATTAGACTGCCAACATTCATAAAAACTCACCTTGACAATAGTATTGATGAGCTGTTTAACAAAATTAACCTACAGGATTTTAGTAAAATATTATTTTTACTTTCTTTTTTAAAAAAGATTTTTATGTTGTATTGCTAAAATCACCCCCTTCAAAGAAGCTGCTAACCATATCACAAATAGACATATTACTGGTAACTGCAGTTATTGATAGAAATGTGCTTATTTATTGCAAAATTATTTGACTGAGATTTTAAAGTCAGCAATCATGAGAGTTTAATTTGTTCTGACTACTAAAATGCAAGGTATAAGTGGACATGATCATTCTTCAATGGTAACAATAGTTCAACTACTTTGATGTCATGCCTATTTCTTCTGTTTTTCTCTTATAATAATTCCTTCCTACCAGTGCCAGGAATCACTCCTTCTTGACATAGCTCTTCCTGTTTGGGGACCCTTGAACACTACTAGTCTTAGAAAGAATATGTGTGAAATGGGATTTGTGGAAGTTGATGTCAACAAACAACAATGTCTTATCTGTTTGTCTTTCTCTGTGTATATACAACATTCTGTATTTCAAAAATCCAGTCATTTACCTCTAGGCATGTGGATTTTATCTAGGGGAATTATTTATTAAGAATTAGAGAAGATTGTGGTTGTACAGTAGTGTGGATTGTATAGTTAATTGCTGTGGTGGTTTGGAGTGGTCATCTTCATTATATCATTATAATAAAGTCCTGTTTTTGGGGGGAAATTGAGAGCCTCCTCTTTTTACCTTGTGTACTCTTGTTTTGTTTGGCGTTACCATATCCATGTAATGTAGCACTAACTATGTTACTAACAACAATTTTGTGAGATTTTTATTATTCTCATTTTACAGATGAGGAAACTGAGGCTTGGTGAAGTTATGAAACTTGTTCAAAGTCACACAGCTTGTAAAGGGCACAGCCAAGATTCAGAGCCAGGTCTGTCCAACTTCAAAACTCTTAATCATGGCCATGAAACTTTGGAATAGCTGTGAAGTATCAACATATGATAAGTTGTATTTATATTAATGTTGCTTAACTGTTGTTTAATTTTTACTGATATATTTTTTAATAGTGAGGCTTTTTTGTCCATAATAATTTTATGTATTTTCTAAGTGTTGGGAAAAGAAGGGTGACATAGTAATTGAAGGTCTAGACCCTGGAGACAGATCACCTAGGTATGAACTCTTCAGCTTCTCCACTTACTTGTGTGACATTGGGAAAGTTACCTAACTTTTCTGTACCTCAGTTTTCCTATCTGTAAAATGGTGATATTGTATTATTATCCACCTGATATGGTAGTTGTGAAGATTAAATAAATTATTTAATATGTACAGAGTATTTATAACAGTACCAGGCACACAGTAAACATTGAATAAGTGTTAATTATTATCACCTCCTAGCAACCAGTAAAACAGATGGTCATTATTTCTAATTCTTCATTAGGAAATTGGGTAAAATAAAGTTTAAGCAGCAATATATCACAAAACTTACATAAATCAAAATTAAATTTGAGTAAGAAAATTGTACATTTGATCAAGTTTGTATCTGTTGAACAGCAAACTGGGCAGTTGCTTATAGGTCTCACAGGTATAAGGGTAATATATGTTTGAGGAACACACTTAAGTACACTAGAGATACACTTTGAGCCCAATATGATAATTGTATTTTGAATGTGTTTTGTTTGTTTTCCTCTTGTAAATGCAGTTTGTATTCAGAATAAATGTTTACATTTTTTTGGTGGCTTTTAAGGAAACTGGCGTTTTGGCAGTTTTCACAGATAATTACCAAGAACCAAAACTTTGTATGTTATGTAAAATGTTGGCAACATTTCATCACTTGCAGAAGTGGTTATCAGAATTTACACTGTAGTGAATGTGCACACTGATTGACCTTTGAGCCAGTAGAACCACAGCACATTCAAGTGGAACTCAGCCATGTACTGATTGTGCTCTTTACTCATCCTTGTTCATTGTGGTTCTCAGAATTGGGAAGTGCCATATGAACTAGTCGTACAATTTAGTTAAAGTAAAATACCTGTGATTAATGGCTAATAAGTTTGTATCAATTGCAAAAATATTTGCAGATAGGAGTAATTTGAGTCAAGTTATGTAAAAATTAAAAAGCTGTCATTTAAAAATGGGACTTTCCTTATATATAAACCCAAGATCTCTATAGCTTTTAATCTACACATGCATTTAATTTATTTTCCTTTTATGATATTCAGCCTTCCTATCCTTGAATGGTATATCTTCCTAGTTATTTAGATATTTAAAAATACCTTTCAATGAAACTTTTTTCCATAAATATCTCTCATCTTCTCTTAGATTTTAATTATTAGATACCTTATTTCTTGTTAGCATTACAAATGGTATCTTTTTCTTTCCATTTTTTATTTGCTGATACAAGCGTTTTTGGTATATAGATCTATGTTCAGTCACTTTACTAAATTATTTTATTAAAGTACTGTGAATAAAATTGTGTCTTCCTTTCCAATGCTTACACCTTTTCTTTTTCTTGCCTTTCTATGTCAGGACTTCCAGTACATTTTTCAGTACAGGTGTTAATAATGGGCATTCTTCTGTTGTACTACTTTTTTAAAAGGGAAGTTTTCCTATGTTTCACCATTAAGAATAATGTTTGCTATAGATTTTTGATATTCTTTAGGTTAAAGACATTTCTGTTGCTTTTTGGTTAAGCTATTTTTGTGTGTGAAGAATGAGTATTGAATTTTATCACTTTTCCTGCATTTATGAGATGATCATATGGTTGTCCTCCCTTATTCTGATAAGGTGGTGGGTGATATTTATAGATTTCCTAATGCTGAATTACCCTTGCATTGCTGGAATGAACCCAATTTTATCATGATGCTCTTTTTTAATATACAATTGGATTTGGTTTATTAGTATTTCATTTAGGATTTTTACACTATGTTCATGGGTGAAATTGGCCCATAATTTTTATGTTTTATGTTGTTCTTATTTGATTTTTGTATTCAGATTTATGTCAGCCTCAAAGAATGAGTTGGGAACTAGTCTTTTTTCCCAACTTATATAAATCCCAATAAGATCAAAATGATCTGTTTCTTCAAAGTTTAGTTGAACTTCTATTCAACTGTCTGGGCTTAGCATTTTGTGGGGAGGTATATGGGCTTATTTTTAGGGGGAGGTATGTATTCAATTTTCTGAATGGTTTTATTTAGGATTTCTGGTTCTAGTTAGGTTTTTTTCTTTTTTTAGGAATCCATCCATTTTGTGAGTTTTTAAAGTGTTTGGCATAAAGTTGTTCAAATCATTCTTTTGTTATCTTTTAAATTTCTGCTAAGTATTTTCTGGTTTTTTTTCCTAATATTTTTGTGCCTTCTATCTTTTTCCTTATTGGGAGGTATGCAGTTTTCTAAATGGTTTTGCTTAGGATTTCTGTTTCTAGTTAGGTCAATCTGTAGCAAGTATTTTTTAGGAATCCATTCATTTTTGTCTGAGTTTTTAAAGTATTTGGCATAAAGTTGTTCAAATCATTCTTTGTTATCTTTTAAATTTCTACTAAGTATTTTCTGTTTTTTATTCCTAATATTTTTGTGCCTTCTTTTTCCTTCTTGGGAAGTGTGTATTCAGTTTTCTAAATGGTTTTTATTTAGGATTTCTGTTTCTAGTTAGATCAGTCTTTAGAAAGCTTTTTTCCTTTTTTAGGAATCCATTTTGTCTGAATTTTTGTATCTGGCATAAAGTTGTTCAAATCATTCTTTTGTTATCTTCTAAATTTCTTTGCTAAATATTTCTCTCCTTTTTATTCCCAATATTTTTTGTGCCTTCTGTCTTTTTTTCTTCATCAGTCTTGCTGGAGGTTTTCTATATTTTCTTAGCCTTATCAGAAAAACATTAATTTATGACCTTTCTCCTTCCTACACTTTTTCAGTGAAAAGCCAAATATAATGTAAGGACAGTGGAGTCTCCCAGTTTCCAGGGACAGGATTTCATTAGGCCTTAAGAGCAGCTGGAACCAGGGGCACACAACACTGTTAGGACCTTAATTCTGCCTCTTTCCTTTATGAGTCTGTATTTCTTGTTATCAACTGGCTTTTCTACTTTTCTGTCTACATGACAAAAATATGGTGACAGTGAACTGCTGAATTTGATGTTCATTCCAACTTTGTGTGTTCTTGATTCCTCCAGGGATTTCAGATTTTTTCATCTGAATTTCTTTCTTCCTGAAAATATTTTTCTTTAGAATTCTCTTTAATGAGACTTTCTTTAGTAAACTCAGGTTTTTGTCTGAAAGTATCTTTATCATCCTCATTCTTAATAGATATTTCATTATTATAAAACTATGGATTAGCAGCTATTTTTTTAGCCATTGGAAGAAATAATTCCACTCTCTTTTGGTCTCCATTGTTGCTATTGGTAAATCAGCTGTATAATCATTGTCCAGTTGAGTGAATCTGTCTTTTACCTCTGGCTGCTTTTGAGCTCTTTGTTTCTTACTTTTCCAGTTTCATATGCTGTGCCTAGGTATAGATTTCTTCTTATTTAACCTGTGTGAGATTTTGACTGTTAACTGCTTATTTTCCCTGGGAAAAGTATTTTTATCTATTCTTTGAGATCAAGAAAGAAATGCATTGCCTTAAGAGGATGTACATTCCCTCCCTTCTCCTCCCCAGATGCCTTCAGACTAGTGTGTTCATTAAATTAATCCCTTGAGGTTTTGGACCACCCAAATGGGGTGAATTTGAGTTGTGAATATGTGTGTGGGCCTGCTTGTCTTTACATCTGCTTAGGAATCCTTGTTCTCTTCTGCACCAGGAAGACAGATTTCCTTGTAGTCCTTTGGGGATGAGATGTGGGAATGAGTGGACTGGGCTTACTTCAGGTTCACTTTGTACCTGAGGAGGATGCTTTTGCAGGGGTCTCAGCTTTATGAAGAAAGGTTCTCCTATTAGATTTTCTATGTTGGGTAGGTCTTGAACTTTGGCTTCTGTTCTCTCCCAAGAAATCATCAAAACTGAAGCTCAACTTTGTGAGTTAGGCAGATGTCTACAGGATAAAAACAGTTTCATTATGCCACTTACCTCTTTGAGTTTCTGTTTTCTCATAGGTTTTTGGTCTAGCTATTCCTTTACCATCCTGTCAGCTCTTCAGTGCTTTTAATATTTTTTTAAATAAAATTTTATTCTTCAGTTTTAGTTATTCTCAATGAGAGAATTGGATGACTAATCTAACCTAATGTGTTGCTGGAAGTGGTATTTTATTCTAATTTGGGGGAGGTTTTTTTTTTCTTTTCCTGATGCTTCCAGATAGATGTTTCACTCACCAATTATTAGTCGTATTTTCTAATATAAGCATTTAAAGCTGTACATTTATAAGTAGCTCATGAGGTTTGAAATGGAACGTTTTTACTCTATTAACTGTATGTGTTTAAGATTTTTAATATGCTGTCATGGTTTTCAGTTATGTGTGCCTCTTTAAGCCATAACCCTTATGATCCACAAGTCAATTAGGAATTTTGAAGTATGTGGATTTTAAAAGATTTATCTTCCTGTTATATTTAACTTATCTTTTAAAAAAACAAGATTTTCAGTTCGGATTACAAAGGAAGACTCAACTATGTGCTGTATACAAGAGATATACAAAGTGATTTAGAAAAGCTAAAAATAAAGGGATAGGTGAAGATACACAAAGCAAATGGAAACAATAAGAAAGCAAGGGTTGCTTTGTGACCACTATTTTCAGTGGCTTTCTCTCTCTACTTCCTAGTAACAGACTTTATGAACAATCAATATTCCATATCATTGAGATTTTTTGAGGTTCTTGGAAGACTCAGTTTTGTGTTAATCATAAAACGATAATTTTCTTTTTCTTTCTATTTCTCCCTTCCCCTTCTTTTCCTTCTCTTCTTTCCCATCATCTTTTCCTCACATTTTAACATCTCTAAAACTAGGATAC